AAATTTTCAGAAGGCGAGCATCAAGAATCAATGTCTACTTACTTTATTTATACTTTGCCCTATTTAAAAAAAAAAAAAACTGAGTGAGGGGCCAGGCACAGTTGGCTCACAGTGTAGTCCTAGGTACTCAGGAAACTAAGATAGAAGGATTATGGTTCAAGTCAATCAAGTAAAAAGTTCACAAGATCGAATCTCAATCAATAAAAAGCTGAGTGTGGTGGCACATGCTATGCAAGAATCAGAAATAGAACTGTGGTCCAATCTGGACAGGAAGAAAGACCCTTTTTGTGAAACAACTAAAGCAAAGGCGGTTAGAGCATAGATCAGGCAGTAGAATATCTGCCCGTTAAGTGCAAGGCTCTGGGTTCAAATCCTACTACTGCAAAACAAATAAACAAAAAAGGACTGAGGGCACACAGAATATTCAGAAAACATACTCAAAGAGTATTCAGCCCAGTGTTTCAACCAAAATAATGTTTCCACAGTTCTTTAACTTTGCATGTTTAGTGTTGAGATTCAACTACAATTTTGCTAAACACAGTAGGGAAAGAAAGGGCAAAAAAACATTCTCTTGTTTGAAAACAACACTTACATCAAACTGGGAATTGTCTTTACTACAATAGGAAAGATAGTAAATGACACATATTAAAAAAAAAAATCCTTGAAAGTGGGACCAGACTAGAAGAAAGGAACTTTCTTTTAAAAGGTAGGATTTAATTTGGACACAAATTAATGCATAGATTATTTGCTTTATACTCAAGTTACCCATTTCAAGAAATGTATTTACAAGATTTTTTAACTAGTACTTCACTCTAACCTGTTATAAATGCACGGTGTTTTGGAGGGAGGGGTGTACACAGGTGCATGCATATTGGTCCTCCGGCTTGAACTCAGGGCCTGGGTGCTATCTCTGAGCTGTTTTGTTCAAGGCTAATGCTTTACAACTTGAGCCACAGCTATACTTCCAGCTTTTGGTGACTGGCCTCAAATAGTGATCCTCAGATCTCAGACTTGTGAGTAGCTAAGATCACAGTCATGAGCCACCTGGATAAATTGTTGGGGGTTTTTGTTTGGTTTTCACTTAATTTTTCAGAAACACAATACTGTCAGTAAAAGGAAATGTTGAGGGGCACTAAAAAACAAATACAATGTCTCTCTACAGTATCTCAGCTAAGCTGTTTACATGATTCTCAGATCCTTCAACTAGGGTAAAAAATGTTTGCTGTTTATTCTGAAGCGCGCGCAAATGCACACGCGCACGCACACACACGCACACACACGCACACACACACACAATAATTGGATCAAAGTTGAAGAGGGCAAACATGTCCAGATGGTTATTTGAAATATTAACACCAACAGTGGTAATTTTAAATAAAGGAGATGACATTTGCTATGATGCATATGTACTGAAGGAGGGCAAACAGCATAGTGCCAGGTACAAGGAAGTCAGGCTTTCTCCAGTTGGAGCTATAAACTTATATTTCAACCCCAAAAAAGTTACTTAGCATTATAATACAAAAATTTAAAGTTAAAAAGTCAAAATAGAGGAGCTGGAAAGGTGGCTCAGTGGTAGAGCGCATGCCTTGCATGCCAGAGGCTCTGGGTTCAATTCCTCAGCACCACATAAGCAAAAAGAAAAAAGCTGGAAGTGGCACTGTGGCTCAAGTGGTAGGCTAGCCTTGAGCTGAAGAGCTGAGGGACAGCACCCAGGCCCAGAGTTCAGGCCCCATGACCGGACCCCCCCAAAAAAAAGTCAAAATAGAGTCAAAGAGAGGTTTGCCCTACTAATTAATAAGACTTCATTAATTAGCTAGGCGCTGGTGGCTCATATGCCTATAATCCTAGCTTCTCAAGAGGCTGAGATCTGAGGATTGTGGTTCAAAGCCAGTCCAGGCAGCAAAATCCATGAGACTCTTATCACCAATAAACCAGAAAACTGGAAGTGGCGCTGCTGCTCAAGTGGTAGAGTGCTAGCCTTAAGCTGAAGAGCTCAGGGACAGCGCCCAGGCCCTGAGTTCAAGCCCCACAACCAACAAAAAACAAATAAAAAACTTCATTAATTAAAATTAGAATTAAGGCTGGAGCATGGCACAAGTGTTAAAGTGCCCATCCCACAAAGGTAAGTAAAGCCCTTACTTCAAACCCTGGTTGGGTAGGACCCTCTCCCAGACCCAAACAAACAGATCTGGTACACAAACTAATAGATCTATGAGCAGCACTGAAAGCCTTGAAGCACACTGAAGTACAAAGAAGAATTTAGCCTGTGATAAAAGACAGCATTTCCAAAACAGCAGGATAATCAAATGGTCATTTGACAAATGACTTGGGGACAAGTGGCTAAATATTTAAACAAAACTAAAATTAGAGCAAAGGGCTGGGAGAATTAATAGCAACTTGTAAAAAAAAAAGGAAAAGGATGAAAATTCACAATACTAAAAGGAAATAGTAACTGGGAATGAGAAAAGATAAAAATTATTACATCAAAGTCAGAAAACATACATGGGGAAAAAAGGACTTGGCTATCTAAAACACACATACACTTTTTTTCAATGTTAAATATGTGTGAAGTTGAAAGATAGAAACAGATAACAGAGGAATTAGCTTCATATTAAAAGATGAACTTGGCAGCAGACTGCAGCACAAGAGTATGAGTTTGTAACTTACAAATGAATGTAGCTAACACACAAGTATATGAAAAAAGAGTTTAATGGAACCACTAATTAAATGGATGAAAGTTAAAAACAAAAAGACTGTGAAAAGCCTAATAAGGAAATTGGGTTTGTCAAACAATATTACCTACCAGGACTAGGAACAGATACATTTGTATAAGGCAATATTGTATCCATATTTAAAACAGCACCACTTCAGGATAATTCTTCTCTCAGAAAAGTAAGGCGATATATACATAGGAATTCATCACAGGGGCTGACAATACAGCTGGGTGATAAAGTGCTTGCCTAGCATGTAGGAGGGTAAGATCCAAAGCACCAAAAATACATGCATACATACATACATACATGCATACATACATACATACATGCATACATACATACATGCATGCATACATACATACGTAATCAGAGCTGTTTAATAAACTGGAAACAACCTAAATGTACATCAATAGCAACAAATAATTATTAGCTCATAAACTAAAACCCCATGCACCCGCTTAAAATGATGGTGTTCATGCATTTACTGTCATGAAAAACAATAGTCAAGACATTTTATAGCCTCGTGTGAGCAATAGCCTTGGCTTTTTTTTATTCTTCATTCTTATATCTAGCACCTAGAACAATCCCTTGAACAAAACTGCTTCTCAGTAACAATTTACCAAATAGATGAATTTGCACAGGTTACAAAACAATGATCACAATATGGTCCCTCCCCCAAAATAATATAATTGGAAAGATAGTCACAAAGGGGTCATAAAATAATGTTTTGGTGAATGTGCTATAAGTTTGTTTTTCATTTTTCTCTGTACTACTGTCTACATTTCTTTTATGGGGAGCCTTTTTTTTTCTTTTTGTGCCAGTCCTGGGGCTTGAACTCAGGACCTGGGGTCTGTCTATCCCTGAGCTTTTTGGTAGTTAATTGGAGATAAGAGTCTCACAGACTTTCCTGCCTTGGCTGGCTTTGAACCATGATTCTCCTGAGTAGTCAGGACTACAGGTGTGAGCTGAGCCACTGGCACCCAGCAAAGCTTTTTAATTTTTTTCTCTAAAGAACGCATATACGTAAAATGCACTTCAGAATGTGTCCACTGACCACAACTCAGAAACTCCAAATTCTCCAATAAACACTAGCAAAATGGCCCCATTTTCTTTCACTTTCAAAGAAATATTAGTGTATCGTTGTACCTTGTGCAAGTAGCATCTTTCTCTGGTATCAAGACGTTCCCCATTATATTGAAAAAAGGTAATTTTTCCCCAAAAGAAAAGCACACTTTTTGCATTAAAAAGTGGGATTGGTGTTGGGGAAATCCCAGCATGTCTTGAAGCCCTTCCCTCTCCTGTACGCCTCATTCTAGTGCTAATATTAGTCCATTATTTGCGTGTGGGGAAGTCCCCTCTGCTTTTGCAGGTCAAAAAGCCCTGTAAACTCATACTGTAAGTCTCTACATAATGCTTTCATTTATACAGGCAGGCTTCATTTTAAAGATATTGCATTGAAGTATCAAAACTAGCCCCACGTCACACCTCATCCTTTCACCCTGCTCTCATTTATTTACAGGCTTTATCTGGAATGTTCATCTTCTAGAATGGAAGCTCTGTGAGGTCCTGCTCCTCCCGAGTCTCAAGCCCAAGCACAGTGAACTGGACAGTAGGCCTCAAATTGTGACATGGTGAGAAGACATGGAAGGCAGGAGAAGGCTGCCAATCTCAACGGGGCAATGAATGAAGAAAATAAAACAACCATCCCAAAATGCCCCCACGAACGTTTTCCAAAGCCCTAATGCCAGCTCGGGGGTTGGGTGGACATTTTTCAAAAGGGACAGGTGCTTCACACCTAGCCAAGCACATAGAGCGCCTGTCCAGAAAGAAGAAAATCCACAGGGAGGTCGCTGGAGTGGAAACGATCATCACCTTGTCACTTGTAACAGAATGTGGCCTATGGGGCGAGGGACGCAGGGAGAGAGAGAGACAGGAGAGAGAGAAAACACCATACATCTTGGCCCAGATGGGGGGGAAAAATCACACGATTCCCTACCAACACAATCAAACCAAGCAAGCACCCTTCCGCCTGACACGTAGGAGCGGTCTCGTTCCCGGCGCTTCCAGCCACCAGCGAACCCCTAGCCCCCTCTTCCTTCACTGCCCCAGCGCTCGTCCATCCCAGGACCCTCTGGCCCCACAGGTTCAAGGGGAACCGTCTGAGAATCTGCTTTCTCCACCCCCACCCGAGCCCAGTCCCCTCCAAAGCGCAAATGTCTCCCAGCCTCGCCTCTCCCCGAGGCTCCGACCCTCGCCACCAGCTTCCCCCGGACGCCCCTCACTCACGTGTAGATGATGGCCATGAAATGCATCAGCCACAACACCAAGAAGAGGATGAACCCGAACACGGCCATTCCCTCCAGGGCCAGGTCCAGCAGCGCCATCCCCCGGCCCGCCGGCCCGGCCCGGCCCGCTCCGGCCCGCACCGGAGGAGGGCAGGGTGGGCGCCCGGTGCGGGGGCGCGGGAAGCGAGAGGAAGGTGGGGGAGAGGAAGGGACCGAGGGGGGTGGGGACGGAAGGGGCGGGCAGGGCCTGCGCGCCCCCGCCGGCGCGTCCCCGCCGGCGCGCGGCCCACGGCGCGCTCGCGGCTGCGGAGTCTGCGGTGGCCGCTGTCCCGCGCCCCGGCTCGCGTCTTCAGACCTCGGCGGAGCCACCGGCCCGACCTTGCGCTCTACCCCCACCCCCGGCCCTGCCTCTCCGTCACCCGGCTTCGGGCGGTGCAACCACACCGCAGCGCCCCGCCGCCACGGCTCCGCGCTCTAATCGAAACCGGCGGCTAATGCCGGGACTCTTAGGCGCTGCCTGCCTGGTCCCCGCCCTGTCCCCGCCTTGTCCCCGCCCTCCGGTCCCGCGGCGACCACCCTCTTCCAAGGAGGCGGAGCTGCCGCTGCTCCCCGCCTGCCCGCGCGCGCGCGGCTTCGCCGGCGAGAGCGCGTCCCTGGGCGGCTGCGGCTGGAGCCGAGCCCCGCTGGCCTCCCGCGCCTCTCACCCGCGGCCTCCCACCTCGCCGCCCAGGCGCCGGGGACTCGCAAGCCTTGCAGCCAGGCCTGGACTCCCGGCTTGTCCTGCTCGGAGTCTGCACTTCGTCTGTCTGGCTCTGTTCTGGGGCTCCCCACACAAAGACCCAAGCGGCTCTGCCTTCCAACGAGGTGGCTGCAGCCTCCCTGCCAGGGCATAGCTCCGAGCACCTAGGCCTTCCTCAGGGCCACGTTCTCGGGCACCAGGGTCCCCATCACTTCCCCCAACACGCGCGCGCACCCCCCCCCACGCACACCACACACGCACGCGCACGCACCCTGCCTGCTCAGGGCTGCGAAATCTTGGTCTCTAGGTATCTTAAAGACATTGCCTAAAGAGAAAAAAAAAAATACCCTTTCCCTAACTTATGTAACTATAACCCCTAATTTTTTTTAAGACAGTAGATTATAAAAGAAAGTCCCAAACTGCTGAAATGTCTTGCGATTGCGCTGTGCATTTTGGATTAGCCTTACGTGGCTAAGGAAGCGCTGGAGAGATGCAGCTCTTTAAGCATGTGTTGTTGGTGTTCACAGATCATTCGTATGTTTTACGATCCCATGATGAAATAACAAATTTTGGGTGTATAAGGTCAAATTCAGTTAGATTTTGTTTTTGTTTTTGTCGGTTGTGGGCCGGGGTGCTGTCCCTGAACTAGTGGAAGGCTAGCGCTCTTCCACTTTGAGCCATAGTCCCAATTCTGGTTTTCAGGTGGTTGATTGAAGATTAGAGCCTTACTGACTTTCCTGCCTGGGCTGGCTTTGAACAGGGATCCTGAGATCTCAGCCTCTTGAGTAGCTAGGATTATGGGGCATGAGCCACCTGCCCACCTCCCCTCCTCACCCCACTCCCATTCACCTTTTCTTAAAAAAAAAAAAAAAAACTGTTAAAAGCCCGGGCACCGGATCACGCCTGTAATCCTAGCTACTCAGGAGGCTGAGATCTGAGCATCACCGTTCAAAGCCAGCCTGGGCAGAAAAGTCCATGAGACTTATCCCCAATTAACCACCAGAAAACCTGAACTGGCGCTGTGGTTCAGGTGGTAGAGCGCTTGCCTAGAGCTGAGGGATAGCGCCCAGGCTCAGAGATCAAGTCCCACCACACACACACACACACACACACACACACACACACACACACACACTAGTGTCACTAGCTACTAGAGAATTTTAATCACAAATGATAATACTTACTTTGAGGACTGAGGGCTGCGTGCCTGTGTCCACCTCTCCAACCCAGCCTCTATGAGGCAGGAGGGTGATTTGTATGTAAGCACAGCAGTGCAGCCTGGGTAACATTGAAACTCTGTATCAGAAAGAAAAGCACAAGGGGAGCTAAAAGTAATTTAGTATTTATCCAAATTTTAAAACAGGGCAGGGAGATGCTGGTGGTAAACGTTTCTGTTTGTTTCTTTAGCCTGGATGAGTTTATTCTGTTGTTCAATTGTTTTATGTTTAAACAGCGCTTATTATTTCAAGTGACTTCCTTTTAAATAATCTATGACCTCCCTAGAGAGATTTCAGAATTGAATTGTTTTGAAAAGAAATTGTTTATTTTATTATTGCTATTTATTGTAGTTGATAGAGATAGAGCTACCCAGAAGCAGGATTTAAATGATAAGCTACCAGCTGGAAAAGTTTTAAGTCTGAACTGAGAATCAGCCTAGATTTGAGATGTCCTTTGTTCTAGTCATGTGGCACTATTTGGAAAGACTGGCAATCAAAAATTAAATTCCCATTGGGGAACTACAGGGTGATAAAGTTACAGCAAGACAGAAACTTCCCCCCCCCCCTCTGGCCTCAACTGGAGGCCAGGGTGCTGTCCCTTAGCTTATTTTGGAACTACAAAACTCATATCTCAGCCTCCTGAGTAGCTTGGATTACAGGTGTGAATGAACCCATGTCTGGCATGAAATAGAATCTTACCATGGAAATATCATCACAGATTTTAAAGTCAAAGCATATTTTTTAAACACTTTTGAAATTCATTGCTTCTCAGTTAATGGTAACTTACAAACAATTGGCTGATTTTGTTCTTACTGAACATCTTAGGTCTTGTAACTAATACCTTTTAGATATGATGAGTAGCATTCATTGCTTTGAAGTATTGTATCATATTCTGCATTTTTAAAGACAAACCTTAACTAGTATACCTCCTCCTTTATCTTCCAAGATAATGTGACAGAGTATACTAGGGTTAGAGGTATTATCCTATAAGTAAGTAGGAGTTTAGCACATGCAGGGGTGTGAGTTTAATCTCAAGCATCAAAACAAAGCAATTATGCATCTGGGACCTAATCATACTAGAAGGTCTATAACAAAGCCTCTCCTCTGTTGATAGAGTCAAATGATTTCAGTGTTGAGTATATTTTCTGTCCGTTTTATGCATTATTTCGTATAATTAAAAAAAATAACAGTTAAGGCAAGGGTATTATGATACATACCTATAATCCCAGTCCTGAAGAGGCAGGGGCAGGAAGACTGAGAGTTGGAGACCAGCCTGAATTACATATTGAAAGCCTCGCTCAAAAAAACCAAAACAAATACAAGGCCTCAAACCAATCTAAAACAAAACAAATAACAAAATTTAAATCACAACTCCATTGTCTATGGTTAGTTAATATATTGTTATTATATTAGTAGTAATAGTGCTGGTCTTGGGACTTGAACACAGAGTTTGGGTGCCGTGCCTGAGCTTCTTTTGTTCCTAGTGTGGAGCTCTTCCACTTGAGCTACAACTCCACTTCTGGCTTTTTTTTTTTTGGTAGTTTAGTCTTCTGCCAAGATTGCCTTCAAATCATGATCCTCTGATCAGGGCCTCCTTAGAAGCTAGGATTACAGATGTGAGCCACTGGTGTCTGTCTTAATGTGTTATTTTTATTTATTTATTTATTTATTTTGTTGGTCATGGGGTCTGAACTATGGGCCTGGGTCCTGTCCCTCAGCTCTTCAGCTCAAAGCTAGCACTCTACCACTTCAGCCATAGCACCACTTCCGGCTTTTTTCTGCTTCTGTGGTGCTGAGGAATGGAGCCCAGAGCCTCCTGCATGCAAGGTAACCATTCTACCACTGGGCCATCTTCCCAGCCCTGAATGTGTTTTGTTTTTTTTTAAGATAAGCATATCATAAATTTTTCAGTCCAGTGAAAACTTTTTAACAATAAGTTAAAAAAATAGGTCACTGAGGGAGGGTTGATGGAGAATGATAAAAGGGATGATTGTATTCAAGACACATTGTATTCAGAAACTGCTTTGTTGAGTGGCAATTCCTTTGTTCAACTACTTAAAGATAATTTTTTAAATGGCTTCCTAAGATTTAGAAACAAAGTTACAATCAGTTGACTGGAAATTTGTGATGCTAATGCTGAGAGGAGTCATGATTCCAGGTCTTTAGTCTTTTCTAAGTATATTTTGAATCAGTTAAAAACAAAATCTATGTTTTTGCTCAGGGGGTTAACTTGACAGTGGACTTTGTTAAAACTTTCAGATCCTAAAACCACAAAGTGAAGTCTCTCCTGAAACAAAGATTCCAAGAAAATTGTCAGCTAGGGGCCTCATCCTGTTGACAAACAGCTGTGTGGAGTATTTACATATGTGGGTGTGGTCTGGAGTTCACTGGAGTTCACCTACCAGCCAGCCGCCAAGCTCTTACCCATACCCCTGAGATCTGCTTTAGCATATACTCATTCTTCTTGCAAATTCTTATGTTTGGTTTTATTTAATCTATTTTGCTAGATTGAGGCACAAAGGTTTATTCTTAAGGGAAGTTAAATTTAAAGGATCTTTAAATATACCCCATGTCTATTTTACTTTTAAACTATTTGAACATTGAAAATTTTTTATAGTTATGCTGTCATTCAGTTTATTTATTCAAGTTCATAACATTTAAAATGACCTTGAGCTGTGTGTGTGAGTGTATGTGTGTGTGTGTGTGTGTGTGTAAGCAAACTTGGTAAATTTATTAGAGAGCGAGAGAGAGCATGCACGTTATATAAATTTTGTGCCAGGAAGTATTTTGAACTATTTTATAGCATTTATTTAGCATATAATTGGGAGGCAAAAAGATTAAGTTAACTACCTACTGATATACCTGATAGTGAGATGGAGTTTGGACTCCAGTCTGTCAGACTGCAAAGCCAATTTTTCTCCAGTCTGTTGTGGGGCTTGAACTCAGGGCCTGGGCACTGTCCCTGAGACTCTTTGTACTCAAGATTAGCTCTCTATCATTTGAGCCACAGTGCCACTTCCATCTTTTTCTGAGTAGTTTATCAGAGAGAAAAAGTCTCATGGACTTTTTTTGCCCCTGTTGGCTTCAAACCACGATCCTCAGATTTCAGCCTCCTGAGTAGCTAGTATTATAGGTATGAGCCAACAGTTCCCAGCAAGCCAATCAGTATTGACAATTTAGAGTAGATGTTCAATCTCTAAAGTTGTGTTTGCAGTGTATATCCCTGTCTAGTATTATCTAGTTTGGTACAGAATTTAAAAATATTACATGTTTCCTGTTAAGATGCACAAGCAATTGAAACATCTTCAATGAAGAGGAATTTCATGAAGTATGATATTTCAAAATAATTCATTTAAGAGGGTAAAAAGGTAGCAAGCAGGAAATTTTTAAAGTGGTCTTTTTTGTAAGTGCTTTCTTCTTACAAAATAATTTAAGAAAATGATGATAAAATCAGTTTCTGATTATACTCTTTCAAAGAATTACCAACAACATGATTAAAATGTGAATTTGACTTTTGCTAAAGAATAAAAGTTGTTGGGATGAATCAGATGTCCTGAGTTTCAG